TTACCAAAGTTAAATCAAGATCAGATAAGCAATTTATGGAGGCTCATAACCCCTAGTGAAATAGAGGCAGTCATTAAAATTCTTCCACCTAAAGCCACTCCGTGAGTAAGTTTGGTTTTCGGTTTTCAACACAAGAGTTAATCTGTGTGGCCTTAGCTGTTCTGGACTCACTTTGTACACCAGGCTGATCCCAAACTCACAGAGATCCACTTACCTCTGCCTCTCCAAGTGCTGGAATTACAGGCCTGTGCCACCATGTCTGGCTCCTTCTGTTTGTTTGTCCTATTCCGGTATGATAGATTTTATTTTATTATTTTTATTTATTTATTTATTTTTATTTTATTTTATTATTATTCATTAATAGCCTGCTTTCCAATGAGAGACAGAAAGGGAATGGATGTAGATGGGAAGGACCTGCGAAAAGTAGAGGGAGGAGAAACCATAATCAGAATATATAAAGTGAAGGGGTTGGGGTAGTCTAATTTCAGTAAAAGGGGAAAAAGGTGGTGGGGGAGGATAGTCATTTTAAAAGTATGAAAGTGGGCTGGGAGGCAACTCAGTCAGTAAAGTGCTTACTACACAGGCATGAAGACCTGAGTTAGATTTCAAATACTTATGTAAAAATGTCAAGCATGGTGTCAAGTACCAGGAATTGCAGTACTGGGGACACAGAACTTGGTAGTTCCCTGGGACTCAGTGGTGAGTTTCTAATCCTAGTAAAAGATCTAGTCTCAAAAAAGCAATATGAATAGCTCCTGATGAAACTGCTGAATGGGACCTGAGGTTAACCTCTGACCTCCACATGCACACAAGTACACACTTATACACGCAGATGCAGACATTCACATACACACGCACACGCACACGCACACGCACACTGCACATGAGCCACATGTTAAATAATACAATTTGTGGACTAAATTTCTTCTTCCATAGTGCAACACCATGTCCTGGAATTCAACACAATTTCTTCTGCTTTGATAAGTCCTAACTGGGCTAGCTTGAATATCATTAATATACAAGTCCTTCTTATTCCTATCTCTTTCCATCCTCCCCAGCTTTGCTCCTGTATTTTCTCCTCAGCTTTTCTTATCAAAATTGTCTATTTAATTAGGTATCTACACTCAGCAGCTCTTTCTTTCTATCATGTTTCCCAAGACCAAGTTAACCTCTGGAGTCTTTCTTTTTTTTTTTTTATAAATTTTTATTTATTTATTTTATTTAGTATTTATACAGTATTCTGCCTGCATGTGTGCTTGAGAACCAGAAGAGAGCACCATCTCTCATTGTAGATGGTTATAAGCCACCATGTGGTTGCTGGGAATTGAACTCAGAACCTTTGGAAGAACAGCCAGCGTTCTTAACCTCTGAGCCATCTCTCCAGCCCCCTGGAGTCTTTCTTATAATCACCCTTCATTAAACTCTTACAACATGCAGGTCATTTCCTAAGCCTTAGAGAGATGTAAAGTGAAAGTTTTTAGTTTCAAAGCACTCCCCAAGGTGATTTGAAGAGAATTTTGGCCAGAGTCTCAGAATCATAAGAAAAGTATGTGGTACAAAACATCAAAGTCACTAAAGGGGTGCCTTAACACCAACTGTCGTGTGCATAAACAAACGAGCTGTAGCTGAGATATGAGGCATGGAAAAATGACATTATAGTTCAGGAAAAGTAGCAATGCTGGGAAATTTCCTCTGCTATATATGTGAGGCCCACCAAAGTCCAGAATCTGCCATAAACATTTTAAAAAATGCTTAGATCTCTCTCTCTCTCTCTCTCTCTCTCTCTCTCTCTCTCTCTCTCTCTCTCTGTGTGTGTGTGTGTGTGTGTGTGTGTGTGTGTCTGTGTGTGTGTGTGTGTCAGGTTCTCACCTTGTAACTCTGTCTGTCCTGGAACTCACTATGTAGACCAGGCTAGCCTCAAACTCATAAAGATCTGCCTGCCTCAGCCTCCCAAGCACTGGAATTAAAGGTGAGTGCTGCCATACTAAGGGATTTTAGATACTATGTATAAAAATTGTGGTGTGGGGAATGATCTAGATAAGTGATTAAAAATCTCTTCTAGAATTTTATGGTTCTGGGACTCCTTACAGAAAAAAAAAAAAGCCAGCAAAGACTTTTTAAGAGCATCTTCAAAAATCCTTTAAGCAATTTTAGAGCTCTACATGAGGATAGGGGTATCAGACTCTATCTCTGAGAAAACTGTGGAAATACCATAAAATGGAATATAACTCACTTCTAAAATGATGTTCTTATCACAGTCATGAGCATTAAATAGTAGTAACTTTCTCATTTTTTAAATTGTATTTTATTTACTTTATGTGCATAGGTGTTTGTCTGCATGTGTGTCTGTCTGTGTACCTATGTGCGTGCCTGGAGCCCTCAGAGGTGGTAAGAGGGTGTCAGATCCCCTGGAACTGGAGCTAGAGATGGTTGAACTTCTATATGGGTAATGGGAATTGAACCTGGATCCTCTAGTAGAACAAGCAGTGTTCTTGACAGCTGAGACATCTTTCCAGCTTCCTAGATACTGTCACTCTTAAAGAAACTGGTATGGGCAAAATCTAACCAGATAAACGTTAAGAGACGAAACAAAATTACAGTGAGTATTGAGGTCTTTCTGGGTCAATATTTCCTTCCAGGGCAGTAATCTTATGATGTGCCTGACCTGCTTTCTGTTTTAAGTACTTCATTTCACTTTTATTTTATGATCACATGCTTATGTGTTCTAAGACATATGTTCAAGTACAAATCCTAATAGAAGCAGAGCTTACATTCTTCCTAAACACCTTCAGAACCTCATTATACTGTCAGCTCAATTTGATGTTCAAGCTCTGCAGATGTGGACACATGAAGGAAATGAGAACAGTTGATCCCTGACAATGAAAGTAGAATTTTGAGAATGAGATGTGAAAAACCTGTGGCATGAGAGGATAAGCCAAGAGTGTTAACTAGATGAGATTTTTGTGGCATCAAATAGTTCTAGAAATAAATGGATCACTGGCTGAGTTGTAGACATTTTCAACATGTTTCATTAAATGAAGACTTTCACAGGAGAAACGTTTTTGTAAGAGATTTTGATGCCAAGACTAAAATGGGTACATGCCGGATCAAATAAAAACTTTAAATATTTCTCAACATTTTTGTTATTTGAGTCACTCAATAAGATAAGAATATCTTTGTTTCCATATGCTTGAAATATGTTAGAATTTTGTAGCTTAAGAAAACTGCAAATATATAGCAGCTGCCCAAAGTTAATTATAGTGGTGTCTCTTAAAAACCCACTAAAGAATTCTATACAGCTTGTTTTCCAGGGTTAAGATTTGGATGTATATAGTTGTTACACTCTGAAACTTTTCACATAAAATCTGAGCTTCACGAGACTTTTCTGTATATGTATGTTAAATTTTCTTAAAATTATTGCTTATAATTTTTGACTATAGCACCACGTAAGTTAAATTTTTTAATGGCTTCAATTTATGGAAGAGTGAAGCACAGTATTTATATTGTACCAATGAAGTACTGCATGCTGATAATCTTATGATCAGTAATTTTCCATTCCTATTTGTTGTTTTCTTTTGGTGTGGTCTTTCTTTCTTTCCTTCTTTCTTTCTTTGCTTTTCTTTTTCTTTTTTTTTTTTTTTTGTTTTGTTTTTAGAGATAAGGATTCTCTGTGAAGCCTGGGCTCTCATTGCAATCCTACAGCTTCAGCCTCTTGTGTGCTGAAATTGCAGCTGTGAGGTATTATGCCTGTGAGAAATTTATTTTCATTCATGATGGCAATATAATACAAAATTGGAGGAGTTTTCCTAGGAATAATTTTAATCATTGGTGCTTTCTTCAGGCAGAAGGATGAGGATATTGAGTGAGTTCAATACCAGTCTGGGTGACTTAACAAGTTCTTGGTCAACCTAGGGTATACACAAGCCTGAAAATACAAACAAGATACAAGAAAATTACGTAAGAAACTTCTTAAATGGATGTCTTACTACTCCAAATCTGTTTATACAATATTTCAGGATGATGAAGAACAGTGTGCTATCATAGTATCTCACAAAGTAAATATCATTCAGCCATTCACAATACAACCCACAGTATTTCCCAAAGAAATAAAATAAGCCAGCTGGTCACTGGTTCTAATTTTGTAACTCAGAATTTCTTCAACAAGAATTTTTTGGGGTATCTGTTTCTTTTTCAGTAACCACTCATAACAATGACACTGAGCTTTCTAGTTTATGACATGGTGCGTGCATACGTTGCAGGCTCTTTCTCCCGAATTCTACCCTGGGGCTGATACAGATGCTGTAGTGAAATCTGGTTGAGGAAAAAGTCCTGAGATTCCAGAATCCAGAATGAGTATGATGAGGAATCCTTACAAACAGAAAAAGTATGTGGATCCCAAAATTGAGGGTAGACATGGAGTTGAATCTAGAGCCAGCTAAGCTAAGAGAGAAATGAATAGAAGTAGAAGTCCCAGTCATACTTTATATTCTCACCAACATTTTGCCAGGAGGATGGTCTCTACTCCTGCCTTCTCTGTAGGATCGGAAACAGTAAAAGCAGTAACTAGTCAGAGGATGTGGGGTACTACCTGAACCACACTCAAATTCAGTGGTCAATAGAATGTCATACCTCTGGATGAACAGGCATCCATTGGCACCTAAATCTCATGGTGAATCACTAACAACTCAAAAAGCAGTTCCACGTGTACGTGTATAGGGAGGCTTCCTAAAGGTCATTCTCACTGGAAGGGAGAGCAGAGCAAACAAACAAACAAACAAACAAATAAGCTCAGATTACAAACCCTGAAATCCTTACTTTACTTGACTCAGAATGACTTGTAGGTCAGACAGAATAGGATTTGCCTCCTTGTAACTTGGTAAGGAAGAGTCAGTATGAGAAGAAATATTTTTTTTTCAGTTTTGCAATTTTATTTGACATTCAGTGTGTTGGTTATCATCCACATTGACCGGCTGTAGATTTTTTAATTTGGTGACAGGCACCTAAGTTACCAATGTGTAGAGCTTGTTTGATGAATCCTCATCTTCATTACGTTTTCTGGACAAACGTACTCGGATGCGATATGGAACATTCATTGTTCCTTTAGCCCAGACAGCTCTCTTGAGCCTAGTATGTATGCACACATCTGGAGTCCCCAATTCCTTCATGGCAAATTTTCGAATTTCTTTGAGTGCCAGAGGAGCATGTTTCTTGAAACCCACTCCAAGGATGTACTCATAAATGTTGCTGGTGTATTCTCGGATCACCATCTCATTGATGGCGGAAGGGCCCTTTTTCTCCCCACCCTTTTTTGTGGGATCCATTCTGCAGAGCCCAAATTAGAAACCATGGGTGAGAGGGATTATGGGATGGAAAGCCGCATCCTAGATTCTCTCTTTTTTTTAATACATAATGTATTTATTTTTAATGTATGTGCATTGGTGGTTAGCCTGCATGGACATCTGTGTGAGGGTGTCAGCTCTTGGAGTTGTAGACAGTTGTGAGCTGCCACGTGGGTGCTGGGGTTTGAACCTGGGCCCTCTAGATTGGGCAGTCGGTGCTCTTAACTGCCGAGCCATCTCTCCAGCCCTAGATTCTCTTTTTAAATGAGTAACTGGAGTTACTTTGGAAACTCAGTACAGCAGGGGAAAGGTGTCAAAACCAACCAACCAAACAAAAAACAACAAAAACCTAGTGATTCACCCAAAAAAAGCCTCACCAAGATAAAACCATCCACCATACACATTAATAGAAGTCAAATTTATTTTCTTTTAATTTTTTCTAAGTATTATGTTAATTGTACAAATATATAAGGTGCTGTATGATCATGTAATACATATATACAGTGTATAGTGATCAAATTAGAGTAATTAAGATTTCCATCGTCTGAAAAATTATTTTGAGCCAGGTGGTGGTGGCACATGCCTTTAATCCCAGCACTCAAGAAGCAGAGGCAGGGGGATCTCTGTGAGTTCAAGGCCAGCCTGTTCTATAAAGTAAGTTCCAGGACAGCCAGGGCTATACAGAGAAACCCTGTCTTAAGAAACAAACAAACAAACAAACACATTATTTTGTAAATATCCAGCTACTGTATAATAATTCTATATATTTAAGAGCTACATTGTGATATTTCACTATCTTTGTGGTAGGTACAACCAATCTCTCAATGAAATGCGATGTGATAAATATTCTCACTGCCATTGTTAACTGTGGACCCACAGGGGCACAGTAGAGGTCTCCTGTACATCTGCAGTTGGGGAGTCAATGTTATACAATAGGGAGCAAATATCAAGAATCACCTCACTTTTTTTACATACACTTATGTATTTGTTTCATATGTGAGTGGGGTGTACATGTGTGAGTCAGAAGTCAGTTGTTCCTTCCACATGTGCATCCCAGGAACTAAACCAGAGTACCCTGACTTAGTAGACATCTTTACTTGCTGAGTCATTTTACCAGCCTAAAGTAAAGTTGGATGCTTTAAATTCATTTTTGTAATGCTGGGGCTTGAACCCTTGGCTTCATATATACTAGATAAGTACCCTGCCACTGTGGTACTTCTCCATCTCCTCTCCCCACTTCTTGCACACATTATTTTTTTATTTGCTTATTTATTTATTTTGATTATTATTATTATTATTTTTAGAGACAGGCCCTCACTATGCAGCTCTGGCTGTCCTAGAGCTCTATAGGCAGACTAGGCTCATGTCAAATTCAAAGAGATCCACCTGCCTCTGCCTCCCTAATGCTGGGACTTAAAGGCACAAGCTACCATGCCAGGCTTGACGGTATTCAATTCTACCTATATCCTTTGAACACCAGCTGTATGCACACCACCATGCCTGACCCTTCAGGGCCTTTCTCATAAGAACAATATGGTTAAACTGTGATAACAGATTAGAAATGAAGTAAGTAGGCAAAACTCACATTATACTTTATATTGCCACATATAAAAAACCATAGAAATATTTTTAGATATAGGAGTCATTATAAACATGTGTTTCCTTGTTCTTCCACATAGACAGACAGAATGACATCCTAATAGCAATAGGCATACCTAGACTTTGGATTTTGTTTTCAAATGTCATTATCCCAAACAAGAGAACCATGATTCATGGAAGGCAGTGGTGGCACATGTCTTTAATATCAGCTTGGGAGGCAGATAAATTTCTCTTCAAGTTTCAGGACAGCCAGGGCTACACAGAGAAACCCTGTCTTGAAAAACAAAAACAAACAAATAAAAAAACTAGGACTTTTTAGAGTAAAAGCTAATTCTTAGGACTGGAGCAGTTATATACAAGTTAAATCCAAGCCCAACAAATTCTACATTGACCAAAAAAAGGTGGCTGCTTCAAACAAAATCTACAATTAGACTTGGTAATGCAGCACAGCTGGCAACATCCTTGCCTATCTATTATGCAGAGAGCTCTAGGTTCAATCCTCAGCACTGCATGAGCCAGGCATTGCAGTACATGCCTGTAATTCCTTTTTCTCAAAAGATAAAGGCAGGGGAATCAGACCATCTTCAAGATCAGCCTCGGCCACAAGTTCAAAGGCAATATGACAGAGGCAGGCAGATCACTGTAAGTTTGAGGCCAGACTGGTCTACCAAGCGAGTCCAGGACAGTCAAGGCTACCTATACAGAGAAACCCTGTGTCAAAAATCAAAAGAAGAAGAAACACACACACACAATCAAAAACCCCAATCACGAAGTTTTCGCAGGGACTGGATGACAGAACTTCCAAAGGCCAGAGCTGGAACAATTGGAACAACAAAACCGTGTAAGTACTATAACATTTTATTTTTAATTGTGTGTTTGTGTTTGTGTGTGGGTGTGTGGACGTGTGTCTAGGTACTCATGGGGGCCAGAAGAAGTTATCAGAGCCCCTTCAGGCTGTGCTTATGGGTAATTGCAAGCCACCAGATGTGAGTGCTGGGAACTTACTTAACTCTAGTCCTCTACAAGAGCAGTAAGAGCTCTTAGCCGCTAAACCATTTCTCCAGCCTCCAGAGTTCACTTTTTGAACTTTTGGCTTGCAATTCAGTGATGTGTCTAAGTGTTCAAATATCACTTTCCAGAATCTTTCCTCTAAAATCACTCTCCTTTGTGATCCTCCTGTTGAAGTACTTGGCTTATTTGCAGTCATCTGCCCAAGAGTCTGGGACATCAGTCTTCCTGTTCTGATACAACACTTCCTATGGTGTACAGAGAAGCCCAAGTCCTTGGGGAGTATCTAAGTGGTACATAGCTGTAGTCCAAGCTACTGTTGAGGTGGCAGCAGAAAAACAGAGTTCAAGGTCAGTTTAGGCAGCATAGCAAAGCTTTATTTATAAACAAAACAACAACCACAAAACAGAAAAATAGCAAGGTAGAAAAAGAAATGAAGTGATGTTTATTTACTCCATAGCCCACAGTTTTTTCATATTGCTTGCTAAAGGGAAGAACACAGGACATTTTCAAGAAAAGTTGTCTGTGCTGTCCTCCAACTATCTATATCAAATGAACACTTGTTTCTTTAGTACTATTAGGTGGCTTCTAAAATTCCTTCCTCTAACATAGGAGCATAAGTAATTCACTGTGGTTAGGAATGCAAAGAATAAGGCTCATATTGTATGGAGGATGAGTTCAGACAGAATATCATATAGCTATAGTTGAGAATGACCTTGAATGCCTGATCCTCTTGCTTGCATGTTCCAAGTACTAGGATATCAGTCTATAGCACCCTAATAGATTTAAATCCATTTTTTATTTGAATCCTTAGTAATTTGGAGACTTTGGGCACATTATTTAAGTTTCCTGAAGTGATCATTTTTCATAACCTAACTTCTAAAGCTATTGTGCCTTTAAAAATGTTTTATACTAATAACAGAACATGTTAACTATGTTTCATAATGGGGTTTCATTGTAACATATATATATATATATATATGTATGTATATATATATAAATGTAATTGAAATACATTATGTATATATACATAATGTATATATATGTATATATATAATATATTGTATATATACATAATGTATATATATCATGTATAATGTATATATATACATGATATATATACATTATGTATATATACATATATATAATGTATTTCAATTACATTTATATCAGAATTAGTTATACAAGCATAGGTGAAGGTCTGTTCACAGGAGCATGGATACCTTACCAGTTCTTATTCTACTTAAGAAAATCTCTCTCTCTAACCCATCAATCATTAACTGTGTATAAATGCTCAGAGATAGGGTGGGGGTCCTTGAATACCTCCAAACAGGAAGCTGATATACTCAGTTCTGTGGAGATTTTGTGTAAGTAATCATAGCACCAGGAGATCAATAGTGCATCTTTAGTTACTTAGCCAGTTTTTAAATTTTACTATTTATTTAGTTTTTTGAGGCAGGTTTTTTTTTTTTTTTCTGGGTATCGTGGCTGACCAGGTTGACCTCATACTTGTGTAGATCCACCTGCCTCAGCCTCCTGAGCGCAGGATTAAAGGCATGCTCTACCATTCCTGGTTATGACTGGGTATTTAATAGTCATTTATTCTCATCATTTTTTATCAGTTGTTAGTCTCTGCAGTCACCATTGACTCTAAAAAAAAAAAAAGCTTAAATGGTCAAAGCTAATGACATTAATGTATGTGCATAAATACAGCTATTTAGCAGGCAATTTGATAGCTGCATCATGTCAACTTAGCAAAACAATGTCAGTACCATGCTCACCATAGTTACAAAAAGTGAATTTCCTCCTTAGCAAGTTTTATATCTAATTAGAAAGCAGTTGGCAAAATTGTTACTGTACTTTTCCTGACCAGACACTAGTATTGTACCAAGGGTCCACAACTGAACAAGATGGTCAACAACAATTCTTTTCCAGCAGAATGTAAAGTACCTTCTCGCACAATGAAGGCTTGCAAGCAAGGAAGAAAGCTAAGTAGAGTAATGCAGTGCTGGGGATTAAACCCAGGGTTTCATCAATCAAGGGACAAACTCTACCAAGGAAGGTAGATTCCCAGTCCCATATTTTTGTGTCATACATTATATAAACTACATGAAATAAGAGAAATAGTTTATTTACCCATAAAGATTGTTTGAATATATATCTTGTAATTTTTTTTTAACTAAACATATATTTGTTGAATGGATGGTAGGCTAATGTTTGTTTGTTTGTTTATTGAGATAGAGTCTCCTTACATAGCCCAAACTGGCCTGGAACTCACAGTCCTCCCACCTCAGCATCCTTGGTGATATTACAGCTGTGTATCCTCACTCTTTAATACTTTTTTCATCATTATTATTAATTTAAAAGGTGGATTG